CCGTATAATAATCGTGGGGCCCCTTTTGAGGAGGAGGAGGAGGAGGAGTTGACTTCTGTAAGCTCTCACATACTCCCTATACATTCCTTACATCACCTCTACGCCCTATGCGGAGGTTGGGGGTTCCAACAACTTGCGTAATACCCTGAACCCAACACCCTCAGGTTTAGGGTTTAGGTTTAGGGTTTAGGGTTTAGTGTTTATGGTTGACGGTTTAGGGCTCACCCCAATGCGTCTGCATGCTTGTCAGGAGTCAGGTTCGTGATCTTCAGACTAGCGCAGTTCCCCCCTACATTGCAGCTGCAGCAATGCAGTCCGTTAAGCACGCCCTACACAAACACATACATATGCATCACATGTATATATACATATATATAGAGAGAGAGAGAGAGAGAGAGAGACAGAGAGAGAGAGGGTTCTGGGTTTAGGGTTCAGGGAGAGAGAGAGAGAGGGAGGGAGAGAGAGAGAGAGAGAGAGGGGGGACTGTTATAAGCTGAGGACACTATCCCCCCTTTGGCCTGTATCCCTGAGCTCTGAACCCTTAGCACTAAAACCTGAAACCTAAACCCTAAAACCTATAAGCCCTAAAACCTAAACCGTTAAACCCAAACCCTGAACCCTGAAACCCTAAACCCTCGACCCAGCCCTGAATCATTTCAGGCAAGACAAGCCATTGCAAGCATGAGCTCAACGCATTGTTGCTGTGGAATCCTGTCTGTAATGAAATGCTGATGTAAAAACTAAAATAATTAGAGTCCGGTTTAGGGTTTAGGGGGTTTAGGGGCATAAAGAACTGGAATAAGGCTTAGGATTTTGGGGCCCCATGGTTAGAATAGTGTTTAGGATGGTCTAGGGCGACAGTATACCACAGCTCTACAAGGCTCAAGGATTCTGGGGGTATAGCTTTTGTTCATTTTTATTCAGGCTTCTACATTCCCCGTCCAACACTTGTGACAGAGGGAACCAAAGCAAGCATGCTGGATTTGAACCCTAAACCGAAACCCTAAATGCTAGAGGCAAGACCTAAATGACATGCCCCTGCTTGTTGGAGGAAACTTTGAGGGGACCTCGTACAGCGGGACCCAAAACTAAGGACTCCCTAAGACAACCCAAAGCCTAAAGTGCCCAACAATCTCCTAATATTTAGGGTTTAGGGGTTAGGGGTTTAGGGTCCTTGGCCCGGAATCCCCTCAGAGCCTCCTGAAATCTGGGGCTGCGACTTGGTAGAGGTTTGGCCCATGGTGCGGATCATTGTGCATAGGGTTCGGCCGATCGCCGTCTGGGATTTTCTGCAGCTTCCACAGGCGTCGCACATCCTGAACAAAGAATATTGGGTTTAGGGTTTAGGGTTTAGGGTTTAAGGTTTCACCATAACCTTCAAACACGGAGGCAAGTCACCTAGCAATCCCTTCCGCCAAACGTGAACACCCCCTACCCCAATCCCTTTGACCAAGCCTGTTCCTACCACATACAAACCATATTGGGTACATGTGAAATCAGTGGTGAGGGGATGCGTAGTGTTAGGGGGAGATGAGGAAGATCACCTTGTCACCTGAAGTGGTTCACGTCGACGAGCTACCAAACCTATGAACCCTCTTGCTCCAAACCCTAAGCCCTCGTGCCCTAAACCCTAAGTCCCTAAGTCCTGAACCCACTTGCCTAAACCCTAACTCCTAGACTCTCAGCCCTAAACCCTAAACCCTAAACCCTAAGCCTTGAATAGTGGCTAGCCTGAAATTCAGAAGCCTACAGAATGAGCCATCCTTCTATTCCTCCTTCCTAAGACCTAGGCCTTGGTTTTAAGGTTCAGACTTTAAGAGTTTAGGGTTTAGGGTGTAGAATTTAGGGACTTTAGGGCTTCTACAGAATTTTGGAATTCAGGTATTTGAGGATCAGTTTCTACGTGATTAAGCCCTCATTGGGGTGAGGTTGAGTCAGGTCACTATGCGAATGCTCTCTCCAGCTCCTACTGTAGATCCCAAGTCTCCAATTCGTTTCACCTCTACTTGCACTGAAAGGCTGGTAAACGCAGGCAATACTTCTCACCGAGTATAGTGATAAGTAAGTATACAAACACAAGGCTTTACATGATTCGGTTATAATTTGGGTTTTTTCCCTACCTAGATCCTAGCTGAGCTAACTGTCTCTTGGCTTGAAGGTGTTGGTCCTGGGCTTGCAAATGATTGCGTGGCTGGTTTTAGGAACCCTCCAAAAAGTAAAGCTCTTCGCCCTCTGTTATAAAAAAAGATAATAGGCATTCCTTTATTTACAAACAAAAAGTCCAAAGAGTCAGGCTGCAGCACCTACTGCAAAGCAAGACCGCTGAACCCATCCCCCTTCCCCCAATTATCTTTAAATCTCCCTAGTTAAGAGGGAACCTAACCCCACGGCTAGTATGGGGTGGGGTACAAGGGGACTTCATGACATCCTAATCCCAACACCCTAAACCCGTGCACCCTGAACCCAAACCTTAGCTACAAAAAGCTACCCACCCCTACACCCTAAACCCTAAGAGCCATAGTCTAGCCTCCTAGTATGCCCCTTAATCAACCGTATAGTAGTCACCTATATAACCCCCTTTAGGACTTTAGGCCATAGAACATATAGGGGTTTCCAAAATCTCGAGGACCGGTTGGAGGGGCTACGGGGGATATGCAAGGGCACAAAGGGTTAGGGTTTCCCCAATAAACAGGGGGCCCGTTTTTGAGAATGTCTACGCTTAGACGGGGGCCTGTTTTTGAGAGTCTCTATAGTCATTTTTATAGCCCCCCTTAAGTAGATAGAATATGGTAGATAAAATATGGAGTATATAGGGATCATATTCTAATATACCCAAAGCCATATTCTATCTACTTAAGGGGGAATAGAGGCCTTGAGTCATTATTGACATCTATGTCACCCTGAAAGATGCCCTAAACCGTAAACCCTAAACCCTAAATCTTAAACCCTGAATCCCTAAACCCTGAACCCTAAACCCTAAGCCCTAAACCCTGTGGGGCTGCCTCGTGGGAGGATGGGGATGATGACGGTGATCAGTGAGCAACAGTTGGATATAATATATAGATTTCGGGTCTAGGGATTTAGGGTTTAGGGATTTAGGGTTTAGGGATTTAGGGCTTAGGGATTTTGGGCTTAGGGATTTAGGGTTTAGAGATTTAGGGTTTAGGGTTTTGGGATTTAGGGTTTAGAGCCGAGTATTACCCCTAGTATAGGCTGTTACTGATTGGGGGCAGGACCCAATGTATGTGAGGATTATGTAGGGGCAAATCAGAACGTCAAAATGAATCGAGCGAAATGAACCCATAACAACGATGCTATGCCATGATACAGCTGTTGTTTTTCTTGCTTTGCTTGCAGCTTGAGTTCCGGCCCTAATTTCGAACTGGGCCCGGGGTTTTAGAAATGCAAGTCAGCACCTATTGCTACTACATGAGCTATAATCTAAACTCCTAGTATCCCCTTAATAAGCCCTATAGTAGTCCCCTATATAATCCCCCATATAACCCCCTGTAAGGAGTTCAAACTATGGCTTATATGACTACATGATAACAGACAACCAATGACATGGCTTTCAAGCTTGATAGCGTACTGATTCCCAGTAGGAAATAAAGGAATATAATTCCTATATATTCCCTGCAGATATCATGTTCCCTTATTCCCTTCCAACCCCTAAACCCTATATAGACCCTTATTCCCTACTAACCCCCCCCCCCCCAGTAGGACAAGGAGATGGGTCCAGTGGAAGATTGCTGGCTTTTCTTTGCGACATGGTGCTATAGGAGAACAAATTGTCGGGGATCTATGGGTTGCGGGTTTAGATTCAACAGGAGGTTTATGGGGTTTAGGGTTTAGGGCCTAGGGTTTAGGATTCATGTTGAAGTCTATTCCAAGACCTCCAAGTACCCCCTATTATGGCCCAAATACCCGCTCTTAGGAAGCCACTAACGGGCATTAAACTGTACTTGGGGGCTCTCGGTTTGAGGTATGCTATATAATATTGGTACCAGGAACCTAGGACCATACTGCTGGCATATACTTTCATTTAGGTTTCAGGTTTCTATAAGAGGTGGCAAATCCATCATAGGAACATGCAGGGTTTGGCGTTCAGGGTCATGGCGAATCACATGGAAAAGGTAATGGAATATGAGCTGAAAACTGGGTTTCGTAGGTGTTTATAAACATCGAATGTAGGGGCATTTTCTCGATGTGGCTTTGGGAAATGTTCGACTATAGCAACATCACGGATTTATACAGGAACAAAATCGGTCGACTTCTGCAGAAGACACTCTTGGGGATAGATCCTTACCCTTAACCCTAAACCCTAACCCTTGAACATTTCTGACTTTGCTCCGAGAAGCATACCTCGCAGTCCTTTGCTAAACACGAATTCAGCTGAACAATTCTCCGGGTGGTACTTTGAGGACGCCATGCATGAATGATGGATAACCAGAAAATACGTGCTTGCATATTCCCAACATGTACTGTACCCCATCATGATATGCTAGGTTGCATGCTCCTTTGTTCTAATTATTTCCTATCGAACTCCACTATATTCGTGTATATATATATATCCCTATTTCATCCCAACATAGGCCTTAATCTAATGTAGTAGTTTCCAGCTTCTTGTCCACTATTCCTTAGATAACCCCTGTAGGTCCCAAAGTGCCACCCAGTTTCGCTCTTCGGAGCCTATGCAAGATTTGGCGTGCTTCAATTCAAGTAATTAAAAGGGTCCTCAGGATCTGCACCTATACGAAATGATCCCCAGAAACGAGGTCCCAACAAAAGACAGTTGTCAGCAAGGGCGCCCTCAACCCAAATTCCTAAACCCTAAACCCTGAAACCTTAAACTCCTAAACGCTAAAACCCTGGGGGCGAGAAAGCAGGCTGGGCCAGAGCCGCTCGAGGGGCATTGTGATCAGCAAATGCCTCCTCACTTTACATAGGGGAGCACAGCTCTGAAGTAAGCACTTGCCAAATAAACATATCATTCATACATTCTAATCATTTGCCTGGATTGTTCCTTTGACATATTCCTGGAACGCGCGCATGAGCCATGACATAAACTCTTCCTTGACCATCGTATTCACCACATCAAACCCACAAGAGCTGCGGACCAAGTCTTTGATAGCCACTGCATCTGCTTCCACGGAAGCTTCTGCGTTCTCCAAGTCAATCTGCAGGAAACTGTCTCGGACGCGCCAAGGAGAGGTTTCCAGTACTTGTTTGAAAGTGGTCAACTCCTTAGGAGGCAGTATGACGGTCATCGGGAAGTCCTTCCTCAAACAAATGAATGTCTCAAACAAACACCAGGCCCGCTTGTAGTAATGTGGCGTCAGGAAGGTGTCCAAGATCACCAGCATGTTCCTTGCACTGGACAAACGTGCTTCAAAGACCGCGCTGAGGTCATTGGAGTTGCTGCAAGTGCCGTCCTGGATTCGATACTGATTGTTACAAAAGAAGCACATCCACAAGAACACCTCCGCTGTCTGTGAAGCGGAAGATTGTGCCCACAGCTGAACGCCGCTCACCACCACCTCCAGGGTATAGTGCCAGCACCAGGAGACAAAATGAGTTGTGGGAGAGCGATGTTCCAGAGGCAAAGCATCCACAATGCTGCAATTCGGCCTACCATCGCGTGGGCAAATCTTCCCAAAGCCTTTTCCTTTCTCTCCAAGGGCCAGAATAGGGCACATCTCGTAGAAATTTGGATTGCTCAAGCCTGTGGCTTGCTGCGCTTCAGATGGGAAATGCTCCAGCAGGTAGGTGGCCGAAATTCCCAACTGCACCTGAATAGTGTTTGTTTGTGGTGGTTAAACCCAGTAAGATTGTATTCCTATATAAAATACTATACCCCAAAAGGAGGATAGAATCTTACTCTAGAATGGGTACCATAGTATCCCCAAATAAAATACTACCCACCTGGGGTAGCTACCGATGGGGCTTCTCGAACGGGGGGGCCATGGAGGCCCGAAAGATCAAAGGGATTTGCACGCTTATGGCTATCCCAAGGGGTCCAAGGACCCGAACAAATAGGGTTTTAGGGCCCAAATACCCTTGTATTTGGGCCCTCAAGCTGTATTATTTGGGTCCTTGGGCCCTTTAGGTATTAAAGGATTATCTAGGAACTATTCGCGAAAGTACCATGAGCCTAATGCAAACCCCTGGACCATATGCAAGAAAGTTTCTTTTGATAGCATGCCTCAGTATCGCCACAGAACGTCTTGCAACTCCCGTAGCAGGGGCAAAAGAACCTTTATGAAACATACCCTGTAACCCATTATACAGTTTCCATTTTTTTCCATTATCCCTTTCTAACCCGAATAATATCTCCCCAACTACTTATAAGGGGGACTGAAACCCTAAACCCTAAGCCCTCAAAAGACCACTGTGACAACTGCCCACCTCATGGACTGCGGCTATTCTGGCCGGAGCCGTTGAAGCCTTGGTCTCGCCCTTATGGCTCAGCGGTGGAGTCCGTCCTCGACAGGGCTTTTGAAGGCTCGTACTTACGTAATCATTGGGGCATATTGGAGGTACAATTGCAGAGGAAGTCCGACCCCAAGGGAATCTCGTGAGCCTTCAAGTAGTTGTGTTGGAGATCTGTTCAAGGAAGCATGCATCATACGGCATGCTGTCCGTGCCCCGAAGACAAGAGCCCCCAAGAAACAGCACCCTTGTCCTAGCAGCACCTGCCCCGAAACGTCAGGCTTTTCTGGAAGATGGCTAGCCCGCGTCTTCCAAGCGCAAGCCAAGAAAAGCGTAGCAATCACGACCTCCATGACTTTGGGGGAACATGGAGATTGCACAGAACAGGTCGAATACATTGGGGCGACGTAGGGCTTTCAGCAGGATTATCTAAGGGCCATAGGACTGTGTTGGGGACTAACCTTTGCATTTCTTGTCAGTATGTAGGCAAAGCACTGTGAAATGTCTGCTGACAGCAACCCAGAGACTAAACCACCAGACAGCACAGCCAGCAAGGGGGCGGCTGGCACTGCAGCCCCAACTCTGTCATTGGAGGCCACCAGAAAGGCTTGTTTCGTTGTGGTTACAATGTGTTCGTGCTGATTCGTTGTGGTTACAATGTGTTCGCGCTGAAACGCGTACGAAGATACGTTGGTCACACTGGTATGACAGGGCATCAAGACCTGCATCATCTGACATGCTCCCCGCCGAAAATCAAACTCATTCCGCCAATCGTTCCCGTCTTTGAAGTTGAAACCGGTGCACCACCACCGTTCGAAACATTGCTCCGCGCAGTCATATACGTTTGATGCAACCTGGATATCATAGAAGCTACCTCGGGGATACATACATGCCCCCCGGTCATCTGTAAAGCCGTTCACGTAACCTCGACACCATCTCTGTAGGTCCGTGTTGCTGCTGTAAACCATGGCAGAACCGAGCATCTTCAACTTCTGGTCAGAAGTCCCGCCCAAGGAGTATGAGTACAGACCGGAAATCTCCTGGGTTGCTGTTAAGGCATTGAAACTAAGGTACCATAATGGGTATACCTATATAAATAAATATATATATATACATTCATATTTATATAGAAAAATAGTGTGTCCCCAATAGAAATGGAGTAGCTTAAGTTAAGTTCCTTGACAGCAACCCAGCTTCTTCTTCACCAGGTTGTAGGATCTCCATCATCTGGCATGGAGCAGTGTCGGACCTCTTCTTGGAGGGCGCGTCTGGGTAGACGAATCCTTTGCACCAACTCTGGGCGGCGCACCTGGCCATTTTTGCTGTTCTCAGAACCTGAAATAAGGGCCAGTAAGAGACTTTTCCTGCACAAGGCATTTGGTGGTGAGATCTTTAGAATTTGCTCCGATATTGGGGCTTCAACGCAGATTGCACACACCAAGCGAGGCCAACGGGACAGGTGAGGCCTAAGGCCTAAGGGTGTAGGATCCCTTACGCCCACAGACACACCCTAAGGGTCCAAGGACCCAAATATTAGGGTTTTGGGGCCCAAATACTATACTATTAATGGTAGACACCAGCAAGATCAACCAAGCCACAATTTCTTGCATTCAAAGACATCTGCCACAACCCGCACGTCGTAGCGGAAGTTTACGCAAGCGTTGCCAGGTGCTCTCCAGCGTTTGCCGTCCTTGGGCGTGAACACGACCTGATGCAGGATTCTTGCCTGTGATCTCAACTGGGCAGCACCCAGCCCTTCAGTGCCCTACAGAATCCCTAACTAGACCCTGTCAGTACAGCTAAATAGGGGCTCTTTGGTCCCTCCTGTTTTCACTTCTTAAGCCATAGTAGGTGGTCTTTGGAGGATCTTCGTACATACGTGCTTCCTGCTTTTTCCCTACGAAGTCCTTCTAGGAAGGTTGTCAGAACTGATCTCTCTCTGGTTGCCCCGTATATCATGCCATCTATTGTGTACGACGTCCGCAAGCGGACCACAACTTTGCAACCCTCAACCCTGACCCGATACTCTCAAGGCTATATACCTTACATGTGAAATGCTGATGGTCCACCTCGAAATCGAGCAGTGGAGTGGCGATCTGCCCACTAGCGCAGCTGAATGGAGCAGCAAGCACCAGCGCAAATGCCCAGGCCATGCGACATGTCCGAACTCTTACCATGAATCACTTCCTTGCAGCTTTCTAAGCTCCATGTCCTGAATCAATATCCTTTGGGTAATGATTAATTTGAAGGCCCCCGCCAAGGGCTTTCAGGAATAGGTTCCTTGATGCAACAACAAGGGATGTTGATAACCATACGAAAGTGCTGCCTAGTCCTACATAATCTCCACACCCAAACAATCCATGTAGCTAAATAGTAGATATTAGGTCCCAAAGGGTTCCCATATAACTACTTTAGACCCTAGACCGTGAACCCTAAATCCTATACTATATAGCTACTGGACCCTTAGAGCCAGGATCTCCATGTAGACTCCCCCACAAACAAATTGACTAATCTAGTCACGAGGCGATATCTATGATAAGGGGGTGCGGGGTTTCTGATTTGTTGTGTTTTGCATGAGGTGATTAGTTTTCTGATGCTTCGATGTCTCTACCCTCTCCCACCCTTTGAAATTGCCACGGGAATTCTTCACTCAACAATCACTACCGGCTGCTGACGCGTTCCCTGTGGACATGGTGCAAGGAAGCATGCTGCAACGGTTACTGTAACGATGTTTAGCTGCGCACCCATACTGTCGCAACTTTTTGCAAACGCAGGGACACCAAATCATCTAGCCTATGATATGGAACGCTGCGATCCAAATCGAAAGCTCTCTAGATGCGATATGGCTTGCGTACATATTCGTGCTTCCCCTGATGAAAACTAGTCTGTGTCACATCCCTGGTAATCTAGAACCCTAAACCCGAATTCCTACAGAAACCACTAAACCCTAAACCCTACACAACACTAAACCCTAAACCTGGAGAAACACCCACAGATGACAAGCGGCCTCAATGAAGGCGAAGAACTCTCCACGAGTGATGCACCACCGATCCGGCGGTACCCGGAGCTGCAAGTCCATTGCTCATGGGGTTTTATTTAGGTGCTATAGGGTTTAAGGTTTAGGGGGGTTCGGATTTAGGGTTCAGGGTGTAGGGTTAATTGACTGATGGTTGGTGGGGAATGAAAGAATAAAAGCAGCATGGAAGCTACTGTGTTGGTTATGGCAGAAAGGAGAAGAAAATGAAGGCAAGTGACTTGTGACTCATGCATAACAAAAGCTGGAAAAGTATTATGGGGTCCTTATCCCAAAGGGTGCATGTAGCTATATAGTATATACTTAGGACCCTTTGGGTACAGTTTTGGCTCAGAATTCGGGGGGATTAGTGGCGGGTCGACGGCCCACGAGCAACTTACTAATGGATAGTAGGGAACGAGGTACACGTTCCGAAACGCTAGCTGTGTACTAGAAGAAGCGAGCATACAGGATGAACCCGTTGTAACTGGGTTTTGCGCTACCTAGGTATGAAATGAAGGCTCATGTAGGGCTTAGGCTTCGAAGCGCAGAGTTGGTAGTCAGTAGGCAACGATGCAACAGGATATGGGGACGATCACTGATGACGATATATGATTATGGTAGTTTCCCAAAAAAAGGGGACCCCAATATAGATCCCCAAATACTGCAATCCATAAGGTACCCCTGAATTCGGGAAACTCTAAACCCTAAACCCTAATCCAAAAACCATTTATATATATATACATATATATATATGTATATCCCCCATATAACCCTATGCATCCCATGTAAAACATAATATGTAGAGAGAGAGAGAGAGAGCTTATACATATGGGGACTGCTATATGGGGCCATGCCACTCTTCCTTGCGAACCAGCACTATCAAGAAGTTGTCCTTTGTACCCTTAGGGGTTGTACCCTGGGGTTTGGGTCCACAAACCGTGGAACATGGCCCTTAATAAGGGTACTTGTGACCCAAACCCTAAGGTTACAAACATTCAGGTTACAAACTTGAAGTCTTTGAAAGTCAGGCGTTTGCTCAGACAGCAGGTGTCCATGTCAGGAGTTGCAGGTACTTCTTGCAGAGACCTCATCTATGGACGAGACTAGAATCTTGACTAGAAGGTACATAAGGTTAGTATAAGGCTCCCTTGGGGACACCACTTAGCAGAAAGCTGAGCATAAGTTCAGGGTGATGAGTGGGGTCATATTCCTCGAATGGGACCTGCATCATGCAGAAACATCTCTCTTCCATGTTGCCTGCTATGAGCTCTCTGAATTTGTAAACAGCTTCACAATTGGCTCAGAACTCTCTGGTCTGGACAGGCTATACACGATACATTGGGTACTGCCCCCACCAAGTAACAGTCCATATTAGGGGTCCTATTAAGGATTATATATAACTATTTTATAATTATTCTCCAACTGTTACTGAGGCGGGGGCAGTACCCAAACGATACACGAAGTTGCTTCACTGATGTAGCCACATGCCTGCCTTCCTTGGCCCCTTGAAGCAGGAAGGCCCATGAACGTTTCTCAAACTTCCCTTTCTGAACCCTCGGACCGCTTGGTGTCCCTATACCCTAAACCCTAAGCCTTTACTCAGGAGCCCAAACGGGCCGCCTTCTGGCCTTCAGCCCTAAATCGAACCCTAAACCCTGAAACCCTATCTCACAACTGCTTTCCCTTTCTGCAGCTACAAGCAGAAAGCCGGCTTGGTGTCCCGCCAGTGCTCTTTGCGGAGAATTTATGAGTAATTATAGGATTTACAGGGATTCTTGAGTTTAGGGATTACAGGATTTAGAGATTATAGAGTTCAGGGATTATGAGGTTAGTTTAGGGTCTAGGGATTGTAGGCGTTTAGGGTTTCAGGTGTTTTTGTGCGCGCTACTGCTGAAACCACCAAAACGGAAAGTTCAGGATCCATAGAGAACTCCTAGGTGTGCAGGGTTTGGGGTCTAGGGTTTAGCCTTGTGTCAATAGTCACGCTTCTGACTTGTATGTTTCGGCTCTGTATTGCGGAGAAACGTCAAAGGTTACATGTAAACCTCCTACTCTGTACAATCTCCTTAAGGATTCCGAATATGATTTAGAGTACATGCCGCAAGCACTGGTCCTAAAAGACCCTAAGTCTCCACATGCTAAGAAGTAAGGTTTCTAAACAAGAAAGCCATTGTATGGTTTGGCTTAAGATCCCCTCCTAAACCCTAAACCCCTAAACCCTCCCCCGTATACGTACTTAGCAGCCTTTGTGCTTCAATGATTTGATTCAGCCTGTCAAGTAGACGAATTCTGGTGCCTGGAGAGTTTAGGGTCTCGGCTTTTGAGTTTAGGCTTTAGGTTTTAGGATACCCTCTTAACGGCTATAGAGCTTTAACACCCGCATGGCCGAAGCAAATCGCAAGGCTTAGGCTCGAGGGTTTTACCTGAATCTCCAAAAAGTATGTACAATAGCAGCTGCTCTGACACTTTCATGGAGTTTGGGCCAGTATTCTTACAAATTTTTGGGGTTCGGGTAGGGAAGCCTCCTCAGTTATCCTTGCAGCCTGACCGAAAGGATAGAACTTGCAGCTACCTGCAAAGCTGGCGGATTTTTTTACCCCTGTGAAGGTCAATGAGGACCTAAACAGAAAATGGAGGATGTAACCAAGTCCCACGGCGGCGTGCAAAGTGAAGTGAATACCCATGTTCTCCCTCCAGACTACACATATAATACCTCAGTTTAGGCTGCCTCCCGTAGAAGCCGAAAAATACAACAAACATAGTCCTAAGTTCCTTGCAAAACTCTTGGGCTCAGGGTGTAGGTATACAGTGCAGAATAGGCCTTCATATGATGTGATGTTGGTAACTTTTATTTCGGACCTTCTGTTGCCCTGAGGTACATTCTGTGAGGCAGGGTTAACTTACACATACCCAATTGGCTGAGGGCAACCTGTACCTACTCAGCTACTAAAACATACGACCTCACATCTTTGAAGCACTTAAACCCTAAACTCTTGCTGAAAACCAGAAACCCTAAACCCCCAAACCCCAAAACCCTAAACTCTTACTTAAACCCTTAACCCAAAACCCCCAAACGCTAAACTCCTGAAAACCCTCAACCCACCAAATCCCAAAGCCCTTCAGCCCTACACCCCAAGACAAATTTCAACCCTGGGTTGCTTTAAGCCCCAAAACCCCAGGCCCTAAATACTCAACCCCTAAACCCTAAACC